GGTGGTAAAGGATTTGATATAGGAAATGTGAGGTTGGGAATGGGCAAATCCTTATCTTCCAATAATAGTTCCTCCCCATGAAGATAAGGTGAGGTAAAGAAGCTGGTGTCTTCATAAAAGGTAACATCAGCAGAGATGAAGAACCTTTTTGAAGGAGGATGATAGCATTTATATCCCTGTATCCGACAAAAATACACTTGAGTGCTCGTGGATCAAGTTTACCTCGCTGATGACTGTGAACATGAACAAAGGCTACACAACCAAATATTAGAGGAGTCAAGTTATTTGTTGTTTGAAAATCAGGATAATATTTTGATAGGATATTCATAGGAGTTCTATGGTCTAGAGTAGCAGATGGTAACTGATTGATTAAATAAGTGGATGTTAACACAGCTTCCCCCCAGAAGGATTTAGGAACATTTCTTTGAAAAAGAATGGCACGTGTCACAGAAAGGATGTGACCAATTTTTCTTTCAACCACTCCATTCTGTTGAGGAGTGTCCACACAAGACGACTCATGGATGACTCCATTTTTTTTTAAAGAAGGATGTCAAGTTTTGATTGAAGTACTCTCGAGCATTGTCAGAACGGAATCGTTTCGGTTTGATTCCGAATTGGTTTTCTATCCTATGAAAGAATGTTTGAATGGTATAACTAACATCGAATTTTTGTTTTAAAAGATAAACTCATGAGACTCGAGTACAGTCATCAATGAACACAATAAACCAACGAAATTTGGAAACATTTGGAACATTGGAGGGACCCCAAACATCAGTATGAATAAGAGAGAAGGGAACTGATATTCGTTTATTATTACTAGGGAAGGGTACACGCTTATGTTTAGCGAATTCACAAACTTCACAATTGAATTGACTTAGGATTAAGATTTTGGAATAAATCGGGAAACAATATTTTAACAGTTCGAAATGAAAGATGTCCTAGTCTATAATAATTCGACAAAAGCTTACTTGAAGGGTGATGAGTTTGTGAGGTGAAGGAGACTGAAACACTAGTCTGACCGACAAGTTCATTAAGATAATAAAGTCCATCTTTTTCATTAGCAAGTCCAATAATCTTCTCATTGCCCTGGTCCTGTAAAATATAAGAAGAATCAGAAAAAATTACTCTGCAACCTAAATCTTTGATCAAATTCTTTACCGATATCAAATTAAGAGTTAAACGTGGTATATGAAGCACATTCTTTAAAGTAATGTTTGAATTTATCTTGATGTCTCCTTGACCAGCCACTGTTATTAAGGTACCATCTGCTGTAGAAATTTCTTTATTGCTCGGACAAATACTATAAGAGATAAAATGACAATTACTATTCGTCATATGGTCTGGTTGCACCAGAATCAATAATCCAGGTCAACGTTTAGGCTGAGAAGTTGTACTCGTCGAAGTTACCGAACCTGTACCTTGACTAGGAGCATTATCCAAAGTTTTTAAGAAGCTCATTAATTGTTTGATCTCATATATGTCCAACTTTTTTGTAATTTTGGACGATTGTGACATTGATACCAAGACTAAACAGCAACTCAAAAATGGAGATCCACGCACAAAACTGAAAAATCAGCACTGAACCGAACCGAAAGAGGGCTGAACCGAATTAAAACCAGTTGAATCGAACCAAAATATGACGAACAGAACCAAATCTGACTGAAACGAACGGAAACTTGTCAAAACGATCCGACAATGAACTGAACCAGACCGAAAACACTGAACCAGCCCAACAACAAATTGAACCGAGCGTAAAGGAGCCAAACCAGACTAACCGAACTGAGAGAATCGAACCAACTACAGAACTGGCTGAACCGGATTAATTGAACCAGACTATCTGAACCGAACCGACCGAATCGGGTTGATTTAACCGGACTGATCGAACGGGCAAATGTTCAGAAGCAGAAACCCTAACAGATGCGCACGACAACCACACTGAGCAGCTGGCAACATGCCGAACGGTGAAGGGGGGCAACCTGATGAACGACGACGGGCGACTATCGGCAGCGACAGACGGCGACGGAAGTGCGAACGACGGCAAGCAGCACGGCAAGACAGCACCCCGATTTACAAATCATGAATGAACCCGCGAACAGAATCCATGAATAGGACAGCGTCAGCGGCGGCAGTAGCGAGCGACGATGGTGGAATCGAGCGGCGGCAGCAGCGGCGAGTGGTAGCGATGGCTGCGATAATGCAGTGGGTTGGTTACAATGAACACTTGCAAAAAAATGTTCAAAACTTCAAACCCTGATGGGTACAAAATCCTAATGGACACAAAACATTCCAAATGATTGATACAAGGCTATATAAATAGCAGTCACAAAGAAGAAACTAACAAGAAATTCTTGCCTATTAGGATAAGGAAATACTTACCTATTAGAACAATAAAACCCTAACCTAAATAAAATAGGAAACCTTTAAAATAAATCAAACTATAATTTAATAGTATGAATTGTT